CCCCCCCCTTTCATTTGAAAATGAAATAGAAATCTTGCTAAACGCAAAAAAATTCTGTAAGAAAAAAAATGAAGATAAAACAAAGGTGCTTTGAGAAAAAGCAAATTAGTTACTGAAATTGAAAATTCCTGTAAGAAAAAATGAAGGTAACAAAACACAGGCACTTTGAAGGAAAGCAAATTAATCAGAGTTATTGGAACTGGCCATCTGTCAGGGGTGCTTTGAATGCGATTTTCCTGCTTCTTAGCAGGGGATTGGTCTGTCGGCTCACAAGGTCTCTTCCAACTCGATGATTGATTCGATGATTCAACTCCAGTTTCCTCTGTCCCCTGAAGTGTTTAAGAGGGAGTAAATTACAGCCCATTGGAAATTTGTGATTGAAATAGAACCTACCTGCCATTGATAGGCCAAGTGCGGGTGATATCGCTTACATAACAGGACAACTCACATCCCCCATCCAGTAAAACCATTTCTCCATCCTAAAACACAATAAAATGCAGCGCCTTTGTATTCAAGACTATTCATTCAAACAAAAATAGAAAATAGATTTTTAAAAACAACTAATATTGAACCTATGTCTGTAAATGAAATGGACTTCCTGCAGGTTTTCATTAGAAAGTGGCTTACACAGCTTGAAGCTGTGTTTTTCCAGCTATAGTCCACTCTCTCCTGAAGACCCTACTCTCGTCCTAGTCCACTGAAAAGGGTAGAGCACAAGCCAATATTTTCTTTCTGTAAATAGTCATAGTAAAATGAAATTATGGATTCTCAATCCTGAAATTTTATCACTTCTTGAGGTAATTTCTTCACTTTGACCCATTTTAACGCCTATGAAATATCTGTCATTCAAGTACACACCTGGAGATATATAATGGAGGATATGGGGCAACAAGATGATTCAGTAATAGTTGTCACCTTTCTAATTTTCCATCTGTTAATATGTGCTTTGGTTATGGTTTTTTCTGTTCTTCAGTCTCTGAACCAGTTTTAAATGGTAATCATTCAGAGGATTAGAAATGCCACGAGTCAAGGGGCAAAAAGCACATACARAAGCAGAGAACTTTTAAGAAACAGAAAGTGAAAAGGAGATMATCTTTTCTGACTTCCTTTTGTGAATAAAGGCCTCTCCTGAGCCTAAAGCAGCCTATAGATGCCCAAAATATGGTGAAAATATCCACCCAGTCTCCTAGAGCAAGGTTCAAACCCCTCCCCCCCCCCCCATGTCTCCTGGGACTGGCTAATGTGTCCCATAGTTTTCCACAGTTGTTCACACACTTTAAACATTTTACATGAAAGTTACATTTTAAAATTCTGAGAATTTTTGTGGATTTCAATTGTTCCGAAKCACCTTTAGAAACAATTGTGTCTAAAAAAAGGGAGTTGTAAATAAATAAAAAGATAAAGCTGTCTCTACATAGTGACATTAACTGTAAAAGAGGTCTACTTTATAGTCTATACAATTTATGTTAAATAATTCCTGTAACATAGATAGTCAAAGTGTGATATTTTGGTAGGATTAAGATTTCTTGTATTGTAAAGCCCAATTATAAAAAATATGAATTAGAAAACCCTCAATTATGATATTTACATGTCCAGCGTTTTTAGCATGATGTTTATTGGTAAACAGAACAAAACTCATTTTACCGGAAGTCCAACTTTTAACCTGGATCCTTTGGCATATTTTGCATTAAATGATTTTTTATCTGGCTGTGATCCCTGGGACAGTTTAGCTGAAGTAGATGGAAAACACACACAAGATTCTGTTGTTCTGGAGAACTTAGAACCCATTTCAGAACAGCTGTGAACAAAGTCACTAAATTACAGGAGAGACCAGTGCAGATAAAAGGCATTGTTTTAAAATCTGATGTTCACCAGTAACTTGCTATCGAAGAAATAGAACACCTGCTGTCTTGCACTAAGAAGGTCCCCTGTGCGTATGTGCTTCAGCTGTTCATTATCATTCCTATATTCCCTCCTCCCCCAATTAAAGAGAATAGGGGAAATCCCTGCTCTAAGCATAAAGCTTCTCTTTCCCCAGTATTAGTTTATCACCTGTTGAAAGGCATCACCATTTGGGAGACTGACTGGCATCAAGTGTCCACATTCATCAGTCTCTTTGAAAGGAAATAAAGAAGGAAACAAATGTCTACTTCTTAGGAAATTGACTTTTCTTAAGAAACAACAGCACAATACAGTATTATGCTCTGGTTTGCTATTTATATGAACCGAGGCAAGCAAAGTTGAGTCAGGACTGTTATCAATTAAATGTGCATGACATGTACATTGTTCACACAGTTTTTATTTCCAGAAAAAACAGTTTCTGGTTTCTCCCCACAAAAAAGATTGTGCTAACTTTAGTTGTAAGAAAGTATCAGTCTATTAGGACTGAACATAAATCAGTAAAAGTTATTCTCTGATTATGGGAGGAAGGACTTCTCAATTATGGCACCCCAACTGCAGAATAACATACAGCTTTTAGTTGTAGCTGGCTCTTTCTGTTTTGTTATGCTGTTCTTACTTCTTTTTGGGGTGGGGGGGATAACATGTTTCACAGTTTTATACTGTCAAACAGGTAGTTCACACTGCAGACTAAGGATCTTAACAGAAATATCTATTAAATAATAGTAGTTTTGAGATATAATAATAATAATAATACCTTATTTCTATAGCGCCCTATCTCCCAAAAGGACTCAGGGCAGTGTACAACAAAAGATCGGCAAACATTTAATGCCTGAGAAACATAATAGATGTGGGCGAAACATCAGGAGAGAATGCTTCTAGAACATAGCCATATATCCTGGAAAACCCACAGGAACCCAGTGATCCTGGTCATGAAAGCCTTTGACAATAACATCATAAAGCACTTCAAACAATAAACAACCAAATACACAACATCAGAATATACTTATAAAACAACTCAAAATAGCAGGTGAGAAATTTAAATATACAAAATAAAATAATTGGGACACATTTACTCTGTCAAGGGTAGAAGATAAATGGAACAGCCACTCACTTTTTAGGCCATGTTCGTGGCCTAGCAAAAACTACATAGGAAGGCAAAAATCAGAATATTAGAATCTTCTTGGATACCTTAATGAGCTGGTTGTTTTTTATATAATGCAAAGTATTGGACCTGTTGCCCCCTGCAACCACAGGAGGATAAGCCAAAATGTCAGCACCACGAGCACGGCACTCGAATTCAAACTGTAATGACCAAATTGAAAATAAAAAAATATATTACTTCTAGTTCAGAATTACAAAACTCTCATAGGCTCATGCATATGACAGCAAATCAGCAGGTTTCAGAAGATGCATTATTGAACTAGTTCAATATTAATATTTGGAAATATTATTTTTTGCATCACAATCCCAGAACCCCCTATCCAGAATGGTTCGTGTGAGTTGTAGTCCAAAAGTAAGTCTATTAAGCTCCGATTTGACTCTTTGGGAGATGTAGATTCAAATTTTTATTCAGTGATGGGTAGCTTTCAACCAGTTTCATCTTAATTCACTACAAAAGTTATTGCGAAATAAAAAAAACGAAGTAACCTATTCTAAGTTCCTTGGAAGAAACATGTGGACATAGACTGTATAGTAGAAGAAGCCCAAAGAGTCTGGTTTTCCACAGAACAACAAAAGCATGAGATTACTGATCTTTTTCAGACACATGTTAAGTGCATAGAAGTCAGTGATAATTTTTAAGAAGTCACTTTTTTTGCCTCTCCTTTTTGGCCCTGACAATTCTTCCATTGATTGGACTGCTTTTGATTTTGGCCCATTTTGATGGCTAGATATTGATTTCTTAAGAGCATCAAATCAATCAAAGGATTTCCTAAATTATATGAAAGAAACAGACACCTGGAGACACTCCTATCGTCATTAACAAGCTCCCCCATTGCAAATTCTGGCCCTTAGTTTGTTCCTAACAAAGGAAGATAAGGATTCTAGGTCAATGAAATGAGTAACAGAGAAATCTTTGTACCATCATTTTAAAGGGTGATTTTGTTCACACTTAAAAGAATATGTGAAGGAATACATATTATTGGTTTTAAGTGTCAATGGGCTATGAGATCAAATGCCTTTTGACTAATGTATGCCAACATTTTAAGCAGCCCTCTGGTTTCATCCTAACCTTTCCTGAAGCTTCAGTGATGTCTTTTATTTCTTTAAAAAGAAGGAAAATATTTCAGAAAAGATGCATAATTATTGCTGGGATATCAAAGCTTTTTATTAACTTCCCACTGTCGGTTTAGATATTGTATTAGAAATATGTCACAATGACTTCAGTGGAACTAAACTTTCAGGTAAATGTGTACAAAGCTCTAAACAGTTTATTTATTTATTTATTTATTTATTTGGGGTTCTTTTACCCCGCCCTTCTCACCCGGGGGGGACGGGACTCAGGGCGGCTTACAAAAGCAAAGGCACAATTCGATGCCCAGTTTACCTGTCCAAATGTATCTCCTCCTATGAACCATCTTAAGATTGTCTGGGGAGGCCCTGCTTTCCGTCCCGCCTTTCTCGCATGTGCAATTGGCAGGAACGAGAGACAGGGCTTTCTCAGTGGTGGCCCCTCAGCTGTGGAATTCCCTCTCCAGGAACATCAGATCAGCCCCCTCCCTCCTGACCTTCTGCTTTGTGAGCAAGCATTTGGAGAACTTGAGAAATAGAAAGATGTGGAATTGATGTGCACTGACTAACTCGAACGGCCGTACTACGTTTAATGGATCATGTGATTACCTCTTAATGTATTGTTTTATGTTTTTAAACTGTTTTAATGTATTTTATAACTCTATTTATATATTTGTAATTGTACATATTCCATGGCTTCGTATGGTTGCCTACTTGTAAGCTGCCTTGAGTCTCCTCCAGGGTAGAGAAAAGCGTGGTAGAAATACCATAAATAATAAATACATAAATATAAGATTGTAAAAATCAACTGAATGAAGGACATACCTTAGCATACAGAAATGCTTCATCCACTGGAGCTTTGCTTGCAAACATTGTCTCTACTAATGCCTGTCAAAACATAGTGAATAGACCTCTATTAAACAGACAATTTGTAAAGGTTCCTTCTGTGCTACTTTAAGCTAAAACATTTAAGTTAAAAGTTAATGGATTTTTTTTCTAAATAACTTATTTCCAGCAGGATATAAATTACTATTTTTACTACTCTATTCTCAGAATGTTTGTTAATTTTGTAATTCACATGCTCCACATTTGCTTAGGATAAGATTCTACTGTAGTCCTCCAGGTGTAGTTGAACTACAGCACTCAGCATCCTTCATCATGGCTGGGACTTAATGGAAATCAGAATCCAAAAACAAGCAGGTTCCCTGCTTGTAAAATATAGATTACTTTGTACATCAATATTGCTCTCTGTGAAACTCTGGGAATAGCAGAATATTTAGACTGCAGTCCTATACCTCAAAACAATTTTATAGATCAGCCAATTGGCCTTATCAAAACAGACAATATAAACACAACATACTGTATACATTTAGTCCAAGTAAAATTATAAATATACAAGTACAGAGAAAAAGTGAATATGGCCAACTTATAACCGAATATACCTTAAACTTAGGTATATAAATCAGATGTCCTCGTCCCCCTTACATTGTATACTAATCTGGCAGTCCTATACAAATTCACTGGAAAAAAAGGTCCCCTGAATTCAGTGGAACTTATTTCTAGGCGGACATTCAAAAATATGCTTTTTATCCATTTTGTAAATGTAAACAAATTAAGTTATGTTGACAATTTGCAAGGTGATTTTTTTTAATTTACAAGGACCTGTATGTCAAGAACACTGTACATTTTTATACTTTTATCTTTAGTCCATTTACATTAATTTCAAAGTAACTTATTTTTATTAATGTTAATTGCCCTAAGTATGAAATAATGAATCTGAAAACTGCCATCTGTAGTAATCACACATTACTAAGTCCATATTTCTGGACAAAACTTAATATTCCAAGTTGGAAAAACTAGCAATGAGCTCCTAATTTTGAATGTACATTATAAAAAGACTGCTGCCAAACGATTATTTCTAAATGTAATTTCTGTTTGATCTTGTCCCAAAACATCAGTAGTAACCTCCATAAATTAATCTTACAGATAGAAACCAATTTTGCTTCTTTTTTCATGTCAAGAGCGACTTGAAAAATTGCAAGTCACTTCTGGTGTGAGAGAATTGACTGTCTGCAAGGACGTTGCCCAGGGGACACCCAGATGTTTTACTATCCTGTGAGAGGCTTCTCTCACATCCCCGCATGGGAAGCTGGAGCTGACAGATGGGAGCTCACCCTACTCCCTGGATTTGAACTGCTGACCTTTTAGCCATCAGTCCAGCTGGCACAAGAGTGTAACCCATTACATCACCAGGGGCTTCTTAAGAAGGGCCTTTATGGCTGTTGCATATCAAATGTCCTTAATGGTCATTTCAGATCTGAAACCAATACATTTTTATGATCTAAATGGAATATGCCTCTAAAGCTAAATAATACAAAGTGTATCAAGTATGTTTAGTTTCCTTTCACCTTACCCACTGATTCTTTTTGTGTATTCATTTATATTGGCCTTATTGTGGTAGCTACCTAAGATTACACTGTATGTCTTATGCCCTCAATGGCACAGGTTTTCTGATACAATGAGGTAGGGATACAACATTTTCTCGGTATGACCAACTTAAAAAATAAAAAAGAACAGAACAGGTCTGGAGAAAGATCCCACCAGAATCAAACAAATAAGATTTTCATTTCACTTCCCATTTGGCAGTAGCTTTCGTACTGACATCCTGCTGAACAAAACAGCATTGCCTCATACCTGGGCTGTCACCTTGCCTGCAATTTTCATCCTCTCAATCTCTGCAGTGGATTTAATTAGCCGTAAATTTTGTACTAGATGCCGGATGGATCGGATTCGGTTCTTGCTTCTAGCCTTGACCTCAGCTAGGTGCAGCAAGTAATCAGAATGGAGCTGTGAATGCACAGGTTTAGCAAAATCATACCAAACCATACAAGATTCATCTGTGAAACAAAATATAAATATACATATTTATATTAGCCAAATAAATTTTAGGTGAATTTAGAACCTGCACACTCCTGCTCAACTATAAAAACCTGTTGGTCTCATCATATAAAGAAATAGGTCAGTTCCTCAAATTTTTTATTATCAGGCAGTCTTCCTTTGATCTTTTACTATTGTCTAAAGGTCTTCAAAGGAATCAGCAATATGAAGACTACTTGCCAAAAAGACTTTTTCTCTTCCACTAATAAATCAGAATACTCTACTAATGTCTTTAACAATCATCCCGCAAAGAAGGGGGTCTGGTGAGGACAAGAATTTAAATAAACATTATATTCTGGCATATTACAGACTAACAAATAGATTATAGCAGGTACTTCATGGATCACAGTCTTTGTCAGATATATGAAGTGTTATCCAAAATTGTATTGACATATATGAAAAATGAATACAAACATGACTGGCAATAAAAAAAATGTACGTAGGTCAAAATTATATGGAATGCAAGTAACAATGACAGTTACAACTACATTATTGACACTAGTTGTTCACTAAACTAGAGGCCAGTGTGGTATTGTGGTTTGAGTACTGGACTAGGACTCCAGGAGTCACAGATCTGGATCCACACTCAACCATGGAAAACCACTGGGTGATGGTATGCAAGTCGCACTTTCTCAGCCTCAGAAGGCAATGGTAATGCTCTTGTAAACAAGTTTTATAAAGAAAACTCGTAAGATGGAAATAATTTGACAGAACACAACAAAATTTCCCCAAACCCCAATGAAGTGTAACTGATTCATTTTCTCTACTCTTTATGTTTCTTTGTTCTACAAATGCTACTTTAAGATTAGTGATAAAGTGTCAGGGTACCAGTGGCAATTAAATATTTTCTCAGTTTTTGAATATTGGTATTTCAGGTGGAAGGTTTGCATCCATTTATTGTTTTACAAAGAGATAGGCCTATCTACTCTGTGTAAAATGCAGACATATACAGCTGAAACACAATGGTAGGCATGTATACATCAGTTTGGAAGATGAGGAAGTAAATGAGCTAATTTTACTGCTACTTGGCAAGATACAATGCAGGACTTCTGCTGGTGGTACTGTGGAATGTAGCAGAAGGGGTTTGTCACCTCTTTCCACTACAGCTCCTGGTGTACAATAAAAACTGGCTCATAAAGGCTGTAAAAACTCCTGGAACCAGTTCTGAGCAGCTCAATTAACTACAGAGATGAAGGATGGGCCATTCCTTTCTGTGTGCTGCCAATGCAACATTTTAAGTCATTCTTATAGTTTCTGGATAAAACTATAAGAGCAAATTGACATTCAGGTTTGGGACAGTCTTGTTTTTGTCTCTAGATCTTTCCTGTGAGGCCTTCTATTGCTAAATGGAATTACATATAGTAAGCTTTTTTTTCTTTTCTTGCTACAGACCAATATGGCTTCCTTACTGAGAGCTGTAACCATTCAAACTTTTTACCTAGGGCTACACCAGCCTTCTGCTTGTGTATAAAGAGCCATTTGTAGTGGTAAGACTATATAAATGTAACTATATTGCCCTGGTTCTGAAAGCCTTGTGGGCCACATAGAATAACACGGCAGGCTGGATTGAGTCCATGGGTCTTGTGTTTGGCACATGTGGCTTAAACATTCTCAAGAAATAAGTTAAATTACACCATTTTATACCAATAACCATGTACACCAATAACAATTTCTGTTAGTTTTCGCAACCAAAAATAAAACTGCTCAGTCTACCACACAGCCACAGGAAAAACAGAATTCCTAACTATTAACTTTCTTCCAATTTATACTTTCTGTTGAGATCAGATTGGTGGTGATTGCAATTATGGAGCTAAAGGTTCAAGAATTTGCATTCGAAATCAACTGCTCCCAAATTCCACAGATTGTGCTAAGTCTTGCACTATTCCATATATGACACCTGCATTTTCCTTACCTTTCAATTTTGCTACCAGATGTCTAAATTCTTCTATATTATATGCTTCATCCACACCCGTGAGAGCCATTGCACCATCAATACCAGACCGTGGCCCATCCCACAGTTCTCTGCTTGGATCCCGTCGGGGGACAAAGAGCAGAGCTTTGTGTGAAGGTAAAGGTTTGCCAGGCACACTTTGCAGCACTAAGATACTGTCAGGCTCCTGGAACCCACATAGGTACAGAAAGTTAGTTTCTTGATGGAAGGTGTATGGAATATCATTGCTCATGTAGTAGGTGGGATTGGAGAGCAGAATCACTGTGTGGTCCATTCCTTGCACCTCTTTATTTATCCGAGCCATGAGCTTGTGTCTACGGAGAGCATATTCCACTTGCGACACCCCTGGCGTTACTTCTCCTGTGGAGAGAAATCAAAGATACATCTCTCTTTATCTGCCCCGTTAATGTAGTTGTTAGAATTCTTTGTCATACTACTAAGATTGCTGATTTTCCTTCTCCAGAATCTTATGCTTAATCTCACATCCCTCTCTACTCTTTGTTCTATTCTAAAGTGTTCAAATGTCCAGCATTTTTTCTGTTATTCAATCAATTTAAAATGAAATAATCCTTTATAAATATCACTGCATTGTTGTTGAACTTGAATACTGAAGGCAATCCAAAGTATAAAGTAAAAAAATAATATTAATTTTAGATTATAAGAAGCGTCAAGGTATACATTTAAATACTGAACTGTTATAACTCTTGAACATTGAACAGACAATAGTAGTGCTGGTTGCACTCTTGGGGTGATGACAGATGGGATACTTGATTTCCTAAAGAAAAATTTCCAACAAAAAAATTGCCCAATTTCTAACACTTAATAATAAGACATACTATTTTTAGTACGTATTGTAAACTATGTACCTAATGGCTCTAAGGAAAAGTTCTCTTTCTCAGAAATTCAGATTTAACATATTTATTTGCAAAGCATGCAAAGTACAGGAAACAATAATCCTTAACAAATGTGAACTGAAGATATAAGAGCTGCTAACAGCAAATGATTGATCGAATTCTAGATCACGTCCTATCATTTAATTGTGAACTTAGACATGTTACTGAAGTTAATGAAACTTCCCTTGTGATTTTAAAACTGCACTCTTCAATTCAAATCTTAAGCAATGTATTTTGAAGTAAGTCACAGTAAAATTCAATTTACAGATGCATATATACATTTAGGATCACATTCTTAGTATTCTGATTTGTAGGTAAGATATTATTCCTATAACGTAAACTTTAAATATGTATGCCTAAAACATATTTGTATTACTATATATACAGTGTTCCCTCACTTATTGCGGGGGTTCCATTTCAGGACCAACGGCGATAAGTGAAAATCCAACGCCGGACCAACGGCGATAAGTGAAAATCCAGGGAGGCAGGCAGGCACCCTTGGGATGGGCCAGGAGGTGAGTAAGGAAGTGCGGGTAAGGAAATAATATATAAAATATATAAAATAATGTATAAATATTAAAATTAATATGATATCCCTACTTTTGCAAAGTAGGGATATCATATTAATTTTAATATTTTTACATTATTTTATATATTTTATTTATTATTTCCTTACCCGCACTTCCTTACTCACCTCCTGGCCCATCCCAAGGGTGCCTGCCTGCCTCCCTGGTCTCCACAGATCCTCCGGAACCATGCAGGCAGCAGCAGGCCAAGGAGGCAAGCTTCCCCACTTCACCTCAGGCCTCCGCACTTCTGGGGTCCCTGGCCTCCACTGGCCATAAATATTTAATATTATATATATTTTATTAATATTTTCAAAAACCCACGAAACAGTGAGTGTGCAAAAAGCGAACCGTGAAGTAGTGAGGGAATGCTGTAACAAAGTTCTGTTTGGAAAATAGTCTTTATGCATAACATTTTGAGTGGAGCCCATAAATGCTCTGAATGAAGTTAATCATGGTAATAAAACTTTATTTCTAGACCACCCTCTCTCCCCGGAGGGACTCAGGGCGGTTTACACATAAAAAAACAAACATTCAATGCCTCAAAATAGGTAGGAATGTATCAAATACAAAATAATGAAGAGTAACAACAGAAAATTTACAACAAGGAATTAAGCATTAAAATAAAATAAAAACAAAAATAATCCATTAAGACAGGGGTCCACAAACTTTTTAAACAGAGGGCCAGGTCACAGTTCCTCAAACTGTTGGAGGGCCGGATTATAATTTGAAAAAACATGAATGAATTCCTATGCATACTACATATCTTATTTGTAGTGCAAAAATCACTTAAAAACAATACAATAATTAAAATGAAGAACAATTTAAACAAATATAAACTTATTAGTATCTCAATGGGAAGTGTGGGCCTGGTTTTGGCTCAAGAGATAGAATTGTTGTCCTTGTTGTTGTGTGTTTTCAAGTCATTTCAGATTTAGGTTGACCCTGAGCAAGGACCGGGTAAATGACCTTGGAGGGCCGCATCCGGCCCCCGGGCCTTAGTTTGAGGACCCCTGCATTAAGACATAAAAGCTAAAAAAAATTACAATGTGCATCCAAAAAACAAATTATGAAACATTGCATTAAAATGGCTGACAATGGTGTTACACTTAAGACATATCATTACAGCCATCTAATACACATGGATTAGCAAGAAGTCCTAATCCTTCTCCTCTCCATATGCTAAAGTGCATAGGTAAGTTTTTAGATGTTTCTTAAAGGCGAGGAGGCTGGAGGACATTTTTATTTCTTTAAGGAGGGAGTTCTAGAGATGGAGTACAATCACAGAGAAGGCCCCCTCTCTCGTTCACACCAACCAAGCTTGTGACATGGGTGGGACTGAGAGGGGTGCCTCCTCTTTAGACCATAGTGCATGTGATGGTCTATACAGGGAGATGCAATTTGACATATAGCCTGGACCTGAACCGTTTAAGTTCATAGAAATAATGCTCTTGACATTTACTAATGCAAAGGGAAACAGCCAATTTTCCAGATCCCCTTTCCCCTTATAGGTCTGTGCACTTCAAAATCCCTGTCGAAAATGGTTGGAGAATATTATGGAAAAATTACAGGAAATGACCCAGTTAGCTGTAGAAAAGAGATTCTGTAAAAAAAATAAAAATGCCTCCCCTCTTTTTATCAACATGTGCTTCCACTGGATTAAAAGAATGGCAATTTTGAAACCAATCCATTATGACAACTGAATAGACTGTGTTCAGAAGGCACATACTGCTGAATTCCAGTGCCTAAAGGGGACAGCAAGAAAGCACTACTGCCTTCATGCCCTAGTTTTGCTCTTGAAAATGTCTGACTGTCCACAGTAGTAAACCTGATACTAAATTAAATGGTTTGATTCATCAGGGCTTTTCCTGCAATTTAAGCAGCAGAAAATGCTAATTGCTATTAATAGTTATAAATGTAGTTCAATAATGAGTTTGCTCCTGATTTTAATGTACCCAAGATTTTATATGAAACATCACACTTTTTGTATCCCAGAATGGGACATTCTAATTCCTCAAAATAACATTTTTGCTGTTTTTTTTAATGGATAATTGACATAGGAAGAGAGTTATAATTTAGGTTTTCCACAATATTTCCCCATGTTTTAGCCACTTACCATGTACAATTATTTTAGAACAACAGTAAGATGGAACAAAATATCCCAACAAATCTACTGGTCTTTGTTGTTGGGGTATATTTAAAACCAGCCAATATAATATTCTAGGGCAAGAATAGTGAAAGATATTTAAGTGAAGCAGAAGTGACACGCTTTGCTTCTCAGAAAATTAGCCTCATTTGGAAAAATTCATTCCATGGGGAAACTATGGAATTTGCATTGGGAATATTAAGCTCTAACCCACAGCTTCAAATCTAATCATCACTGTGTTGGAGTTCTCAAACCAGGCACTTGAGATTAGTGCAGACATCCTGGAGGAATATTTACATATGATTGAAATTAATTAAGCAAAATTTAATAAATCAGGATGATTTCCAATATAAATGGGCCAAACTTATTATGTTATATATAGGATTTATAAAAGCTCATTCTGAAAGAAAATTTGAAGAAAAGGAGGAACACTTGGCTGTACAGCTCAGATCCATACAATGTTTACAGTGAAGAAAAATCTTACAATTTTAATTTGGTGGCAAAGAAGAATGATAAAATAGTACACAAAGAGCAGTAGAGGAAAGTTGTATTTCTATGTGTATTTATTCAAAGGAGACAACTACAACATAGGAATACAGATACATAAGATAAAAACACAAGTTTGAAAAAATACAAGAAGCAAAACAGTTCCCACCCAACATATCTTGGCATCACCTTAGAGCAAATGCTAACATTTAGGAAACACTGCGCAAACACCAAGCACAAAGTAGCTGCATGCAGTAACATCCTGCAGAAACTTAGTAATAGCGCATGGGCTGCAAACTCAAAATTAATTAGAACATCAAACCTGGTGAATATAGCACTAAATGATACATGTAGAATAAACACAGGATGTCTTAAAACTACACCTGTTGATAGACTCTATAAGCTAGCTGGCATTGCCCCCCACCCCCCGATGGGAAGTTGCTGCCAATTGTGAGAGAAATAAGGTTGAAGGTTGAACACTGTGGCAATCAGCCTCCTCCTAGTAGACTTAAATCAAGGAAAAGTTTCATGAGAACCACCACTCCTTTATCTAAATGTTTCTCCAGCAACAGCAAGATTATCCCTGTGAGCAGCAAAACCAAGCAATTCCAACTGGATGGCCCCCAAAAGAGTTTTCCTCCAGGGGCAAACCAAGAATGGGAAACCTGGAAGTCCCTGAACAGACTCAGAAGCGGAGTGGGCAGATCAAAAGACAACCTGGTACAATGGCACTACCTAGAAGAATCCTTCACCTTGCACGACAGTGGAGCAGAACAAACAAGTCAGCATCTTTATACTTGCCCACAGTGCCCTGCCTCATGCACAGAGGAAGAACTGTTTTAAGCTACAGACAGTGCAGTCATTATAGCCCATTTTTAGTATAAAATTATCTAGCAGTTTGTGATCTCTTTATTTTATCAGTTTTAATAATAATAATAATAAACTTTATTTGTACCCCACTACCATCTCCCCAAGGGACTCGGTGCGGCTTACATGAGGCCAAGCCCAAAGTACATCAAACAAAACATCAATAAACACAACATCAATAAACAATCAATAAAATACAAATCACATAAATCACATAAACAAAAACAATCAATAGACATCTATTTATGCAGTCGTTTTGACACGAAATAAATAACCCTATTTTTCTATCCAAAGATAATCACAATATCTAACAAAGTGAAAAACTAGTAAAAATTAAAATCTATCAGCAAAAGAAGCAAAATGTATTGGCATGAAGATGCCTTCACTGTCTGCCAGGAAACTAGTAAAACAGATCTTTCTTTATTGAGGTTGGCCTTACTTCTGAGAACATGTCTTGGTGCCATGATGTGTTCAGTTGTCATGCCTCTAACAGTGAAATACTACAAGATGCGGTCTTCTATAGGCCTCTTAGTTTTTGGACAAGTTATTAAACAATAACACAATTCTTATAAGTGGCAGTAATAAGCATATAATGTTTTCAGTTGACGCAATAATGGAAATTATTGCTGCCCATCTTTGATTCATTAATGTATTTTACTTTTGCACAGGTGATGTCATATTTGGAAAATTCTAGGAAATGCCTTCCGAGCTAGGACACAAGCAGGAATTCCATGAAAGGTGTACAATTGTTTTCCTTACTGCATTACTCTAAAGAAATAGCATGAAAGAATCCAACAACCCAACAGAGAAACGGTATCAGTAATTACTATACAAACTGGCCAGGAAGGAAGGCCTGTTGAACAGATGCTTGACCTTATTTCTGAGTAACTCTACTTGGGACAATGTAATAATGATTCTTACCTGCTTTGAGAAGATGAGGGTGTGTAAAAGGGCTGGGTTGGCCTAGGTACCGGTTTGGGATCTTCCTTTGCTGAACTGGAAGGATGGACAAATTCCGAAAGAAACAGAACTTGCAGCCTAAAAGAAAACAGCTGCACTTTGTCAGGCTGAAAATACTTTTCCTCTGTACCCATAAGCATCCAAGTCATCTTACTGTACTTCCAATGATACATTCTTGTCTAACATTTCAATTTATATAACATGTCAGATACTAGTTTCAGCATTTGGGAACTTCTGCCCTCTAGATCTTCTTAGATGTCAGTTACCATCACATCGATCATTGATCTTTCTTGCTGAAGCTAAAGGTTAGAGTGTTACAACATTTGGAGGTTCTGTCCTTTACTTTTGTTAATTAACAATTAACAAAATAGTGCATGGATACTTGCCAATGCACTAAAAAAAAACAGTCAGGGCTAGCAATTCCAAGTTATTACCATTTTATGTATGTATGTATGTATTTATTTTAATATGAGACTTCCAGGCAACACTAAAACAAAAAGGATTTTTGATATTCAGATAGGATATAACAGCACACATCTTTTTGTGTTGTATTTAAACTGCAACTGATGAAACAGTGGTTCTGATATCACTGTTTATATGTAAAAAAATTGCCCAATATCATCCAAGTAAAATATTTAATAAACAGCCAGAGAGCTACAAAGAATGGAAGGGTTGTATATTTCATGATTCTTCTACTAACTCTCTGTTCTTCCAGAACTTTACAATTAAATCTAACAAAATGTAAAGCATGAATGTAATATTTATTAAATTTACATAGGAAAACAAAACAAGAAGGTAGCACTATATATTTTAAGTGAATTCCATTTTAGGTGTGAACTTCCTTTTTTACAAGAGAAATACAGCACCTTTGTTCTCTGAAAGTCAGCATGGCTGTCACTGGACACTAAAATATATTTTAGGTCCAATTCTCAAAGCACTTTACCAAAAGATATATTTTTGATGTGAAACTGGAATTTGCTGAGGGTGAGAGAATCAATGACTTCTTTAAAGATAAATATGAATTTATTTAATTTCAATGCCAAAAAACTACATCTGAATAAAATGCAAAAACTTTAAGGATTAATAACTATATTAAAATGCAGTTCCAGAACAATAGAGACCCAAAATAAAATCCAAAGGCAATTAGCCATGACAAGACTACAGTCCACTTGACTAGGGGTGCAGAATTAATACAGTTTGACCATACTTTAACAGCCATGGCTCAATGCCATGAAATCATGGAGTCGCACTTTGGGGAGGCCCCAGCACGTTGTTGGAAAATGAAAGGAAACAGTTAATGTGTGTATGTCAACTGTAAAATAAAATGCATGAAGCTGATTTGTCGACCAATGCCTGGGGAGATGCCTAGGCCTGGCACTTTTGGATACTGTTACATTTTTGTTCAGGCTTGAGCTATGCGGGTGTTCAGAGAGACAGTTTGAAGAGTGAGGCAGAGAGAGATAGAGTTTGAAGTGTACTCTCATTTCATGAGCTGCTGAAGGAGTTTATTTCCACATGGAAAAATAAAAGACCATTTATATCTCTTATAAAATGACATTACGTGAGTTGGTATAACTGATCACACTGTACATATGTTGTTCTGCATTTATGAAGAGATCTATGATGTTCTTTATTGTTCACCTGCATGGCATATTTTCTTCCTCTGGCAAGGCAGGGAAACTACATGTGGTTTATTTTATATTATGCCATACATATTTGGGCAGAGAAGGGTAAAAGCCTTGTAAAATTACAACTCCGAGGATTCCATCACATTGAGCCATGGCAGCTGATGCGGTGTTAAATTGCATTAATTATGCAGTGTAGGTGTGCCCTAACTCAGTGCCAACTTTTCTCTGCACAAGCTCAGGCTACACAGTGCCAATCCAAAGTAAAATTCTGTAGGAACCAGTCCAGCTGAATTCAATATACAGGTGAACATACATAGGTTCACTAAAATCAATGAGGCCTACAGCTGTACCTATTTCCCAGACAAATTCCACTTCCAATAAGAACTCCCTGGAGATTATTTCCTGAAAAATATATCTTCAGCTTCTATTATCTAGGCACCCCATGGTTGACAAAAATCCCTGACATAGAAGCTTCTTTTCACTTTTTTATGCCTATTGAATCATTCTCGTCATTCTCATTTTCTTATATTTCGCTGGAAAATTTGTACTAACATTAGCACTGACAGGTCACTGATGAAGGGCTGAAGAAACATAAAATTTCAGTATTAGTTTGCAGTGGTCCATCTGCTAGAAACAATACAATAAAAACTTGAGTCAGGGATTTTACTCTAGCCAATTCTATTGTACTTTTGTGGCCCTGCCTACAACAGACCAGGTAAACAGCAGCTGCCTCCTGAGTACCTTTCTGGGCATTTGTGAACAAGAAAACAGGGTGACAACGAAGGAGGTAAGTGAACCTCACAGCTTTTTAAAGCATCATAGAGCTATATGTTTGATCACCAAAATGAAAAACATACATAAGGTGGTGACTGGTGAAATGAAAACAAATAACCCTGGATGTATTTTGGAAGAAAATATTTCAGATTGTGTCTAGAAATGTCAAAATGTTTTTCACTACTGATGTGAGGCTTATCTCACCAAGTTACTTCATTCCACACATGCAGATTGTAAGTTTTCAACATCTTACTGAACGGTATTGAATTGCTCTTTTTATTGTGTATGAACCTATCTCTATTCTTTCCTTGTTTCTTCTTCTTCTGTTACTAAATATGCTATTAAAGAAGAAATCCCCAAATAACATCTACTTTATTAACTGAGATATAGCTGTTGGGATTTTCCCAAGGATTGAATAGGACTTTTAAACCATAAACACAAATGACCTATGTAGATTAATTGTAGGTACTGTTAGGGAAAACTACCCAAAAATAAAGCAGAGCATTCCTCATTGAAGACTTGAGACTTGGGCAGAGTGGGGTTGAATTCCAACAGATATAGGCCCCTTCTACACTGCCATATGAAATCCAGATTATCTTCTTTGAACTGGATTATATGGCAGTGTAGAAGGGCCCATAGTTGCTCAAAAGTAAATTTGAACTAATCATGAAGGAGATTACAGCCTTCAGTCTTAAACTTACTGAAATCAGGTGGTTTATAATCCCATGTATATTTTGGAAGAAATCCCACAGTTTAAAACAGTTTACCTCTTAGTGCAGTGTTTCTCAACCTGGGGGCCATCAGAAAACACATATTTCTGATGGTTTTAGGAACACATTTGGCAGGGAAGGCTGAAGATCTTTCCTCCTGTCCTTCTATTGCTTCTTGGAAACAGACAGCGAATCCTCCCACCAAAAGCCCTCCTCCTGCTCTCTGGATGTAGGTGAACTACAACCCCAAAACTGAAGGGCAATACCCACCAAACCCTTCCAGTACTTTTGTTGGTCAAGGGGTTTTGTGTGCCAAGACTGGTTCAATTCCATCATCGGTGGAGTTCAGAATGCTCTTTGATGGTAGTTAACTATAAATCTCAGCAACTATAACTTCCAAATGACAAAATCATATTCAAATTTGGGTGTATTGCATATCTGTGCCAAATTTGGTTCAATGAATGAAAATATATCCTGCATATCAGATATTTACATTACACTTCATAACAGTAGCAAAATTCCACTTATGAAGTAGAAATGGTTGGGGGTCACCACAACATGAGGAACTATATTAAGGGGTCGCAGCATTAGGAAGGTTGAGAACCACTGACTTAGTGAGTGTGCATAAGAATGAGGCTGCACTTACAATTAAGTTGTATTATATTTGTGGTACTAATTTCAAGAAAATAAGCACAGGATGGCAACCTAAACTCTGTATTTATGCTGCCATGTTCAAACGTCTATACAGTCAGCCCTCCACACTTGTAAGTTTAACATTTGTAGATTTAATTATTCATGGATTATATTGAAATGTTCTTTCTAGATCCTCCAGTGCAATTATATAATCAATATGTATTGGACTTTGGTTATATAATTGGACCTGGAGGACCTAGAACAGGGGTGTCAAACGCATTTTCATTGAAGGCCACATCAGTCTTATGGTTTCCTTCAAAGAACCTCAGATTCCATGGATGGAGAATTCGTGGATACAGAGGTCCAACTACACTTTTCTTACAAAGTGGTTGGGGCTCTTTACCTTTTACACAATTTGGGGGCCCCAGATGTTATTGGATAACAACTTTAGTCACTCTTGTTATCCACCATGCAGTCTGGGGATAATGGCATAGCAAACCATCAGCATTTGTGGCTCTGAGGTTGGGGAAAAGTTAAAGGACATTTTAAAGTCAGACATCACATCCACAAGCCTTATATCTAAATTCAAATCTCACTCTCCTGACTAGACAGAACAAACAGCAGCTTTCCAGATGTTACTGTATCACAATTTTCATCAGCTCTAGTTATGTCTAATGATGAAGAATACAGGAGTCCAGCACCTGGAGGGACACATAAAATGACATGCCAGGCTGGATTCAGTCTGACTCCACAGGCCTTGAATTTGATACATGTGACCTAAAGAATCATAAAGAGAAGTTCTCTAGTAAGATTCTATGGTCAATTTACAGCAGAGGTTAACCACAGAATCATGCAGACCTAGAGACTCCTAGAAAGGTATTCTCTAAAGTATTTTTAATGTGGTTTTTCACATGTTCTAACAACAGCGAATGTGGAGAGCCGATTGTATTTCAAAGAGAGGCTGCTTAGTACTACAATATTAAAACTAAACTTTATAGCAAGCATCTTGAAATGATTGCAGTGCAGCTTTATATAGATTTTGATATCCCTAACCTGTTGATTTCAGTTGAGTTGGTCATATCTACCCTAAGGTAGGCATACTAATAAGATTAAGTACTCCAAAGGTGTTCATTGTTTTATATTAGAAGCCAAAGCACTTGTCTTTTTTCAATATTGACATTGAAACATATGGTGATGCACATCTGTATCTAATGGGTTTTCTTAGCTCACATACCTTAGAGGACAAGAAAGATATAAAACTGTAAAACAATTGTTTAGCATTCAGTTTCATAATTAATTAGCTGTAATGTAATGTGTAAAAATACCTTTATTGTGTAATCGCAATAAATTCCTCCAATGATTAATGTAGAAAAAAATCTTTTTCTAAAAACGAATAGGTCATATTAGGTAAAATAAACAGAAGGCTTAGACTGTTACATTGGCTAATTATTTATTTGCCTGTGTATGATTAGTGACTTGAGGTTACAATGAATATCAAAATGCAGGAAGGTTCCGTTAGTTTGTTATTCACCTTGAGGCTTCATTGAGGCTGCCTTTACACTGAAGACCAAGTTAATTCAGCTTCGATGACTCACTTTAACTGCCATCGTTCAAAGTTATGGAAATCCTGCATTACTTCTACATGCCTCCTTCACCATACATTGTGAGAACCATGCCTCTTTCATTATCTCAGTCATAAATGTAGATGCTGAAATAGTTTTAGTGACCCTAGACATTCAAAAAACCATGCTTTTGTCTTTATATGAGTTCTAAGGTGCATCTATTTTAGTTTGTACAATTAATGCAGCTTGACATCACTTTAACTGCCCTGGCTTCATGCAGTGGAATCCTGGGAGTTGTAGTTTGATGAGGTTCCATCATGTTTTGGCAGACAAAGCCAAAGGCTTTGTAAAATGACAACTCCCCGGATTTCACTGAAACTGACCCATGGCAGTTCAAGGGTGTCAGACTATATTAATTTTTACATGCACCCACTGAGTGAGTCTACACCAGTGGTTCTCAACCTGTGGGTCCCCAGATGTTTTGGCCTTCAACTCTCAGAAAGCCTAACAGCTGATAAACTGGCTGGGATTTCTGGGAGTTGTAGGCCAAAACACTGGGGATCCACAGGTTGAGAACCACTGTTCTACACAAAAAAGAACTCAGTGTTCACCCACACTGTAGAACTAATGCAGTTTGGCACCACTTTAACTGTCATGGCTCAATGACTGTGGAATCCTGGGAGTTGTTGTTGGATGAGGGACCAAGCACTCTTTGGCAGAGAAGACCAAAGACCTTGTAGAACAACAACTCCCAGGATCCCATAGCATTGAGCCATAGCAGTTAAAGTGGTGTCAAACTATATTACAACTAATGTACGTCAGACATGGGCAAACTTTGGACCTCCAGGTGTTTTGGACTTCAACTCCCACAATTCCTAACAGCCTACTGGCTGGAGGGTCAAAGTTTACTCATGCCTGGTTACCTTGGGAAGTCTGATCTGGCAATAGTGGTCCACACTCTTGTTACATCCCGAATAGATTACTGCAATGCACTCTATGTGGGGCTGCCTTTTCGGAAACGTCAACTAGTCCAATGGGCTGCAGCCAGATTACTAACTGGACCGACATATAGGGAGCACACTACTCCCTTGTGTCAGCTTCACTAGCTGCTGATCCACTTCCAAACTCAATTCAAAGTGTTAGTTTTGACCTATAAAGCTCTATACGGTTCTGGCTCAGCTCACTTGTCCGAACACATCTCTCTCTACGTCCTACATTGCAGTCTAAGATCATCCGGGGAAACCCTGCTCTCACTCCCGCCAGCGTTGCAAATACATCTGGCAGGGACAAAAGACAGTGCCTTCTCAGCTGCAGCCCTCCGCCTGTGGAACTCGCTTCCCAACGAAGTAAGATCGGCTTCATCCCTGCTTTTGGACAGCAGGCATAAATAGCGCTTTGGATATGGAATTTGATTGGAATGGTGATACAACGGTTAATACTGTTTTTATTAGGTTCTTGTGGGTTTTTCGGGCTATAGGGCCATGTTCTAGAGGCATTTCTCCTGACGTTTCGCCTGCATCTATGGCAAGCATCCTCAGAGGTAGTGAGGTCTGTTGGAATTAGGACAATGGGTTTATATATCTGTGGAATGGCTGGGGTGGGGCAAAGAGCTCTTCTCTGCTGGAGCTAGGTGTGAATGTTTTTATTGTTTTAATTAATGTTCTATTTATTGTTTTGATTTTTGTTATATTTAATGGCATCAAATTGTGTCAAATGTAAGTTGTCCTGAGTCCCCTTCGAGGGTTGAGAAGGGCGGGGTAGAAATGCTGGAAGTAAATAAATAAATAAATAAATACTGTTAGGAATTGTGGGAGTTGAAGTCCAAAGCACCTGGAGGGCCAGAGTTTGCTCGTGCCTGGTAGCTGTTAGGAATTGTGGGAGTTGAAGTCCAAAGCACCTGGAGGGCCAGAGTTTGCTCATGCCTGGTAGCTGTTAGGAATTGTGGGTGTTGACGTCCAAAATACCTGGAGGACCATAATTTGCCCATGCTTGGTGTAGAGGCAGCCCCAAACATTTTCTGAATACTGAGAAAGAAGGCAGCTACATAACGCACGTAGCAGCACTGACATGAGCAACTCCCATCTTTAGAAGGAAAGGAAGACTCTGACCTGAGAGACAGCGCTTGCCCTTTATGGGCTGGATCAGCCTCTGGAGTGGGAACCGCACCATGGCTGAGCCCCCTCTGCCTGCACAGGCCAGACCCACCGTTCCTCGGAGGAAACGCCAGCAAGCCCCCGCTGCCTCTCATGGGCCGACCTCCCTGGGCTCAAACCACCCTCGCACAACCACCCGCACGTTCCCGAGGGCCTCTCCCCTACTGGGTCCCTGTTTGATGGCGTCATCACGCCTTTTCCACGCCGCCTTTTGCTTCAGAGCTTCCGGAAATGACGGTTTAGATTATATAGCTGTCTAGTGCAAACGCCTGGTTTAGAAAGTGCCACCGCTCGCTTCCGCTTTCCTCGCGGCGCGTTTTTGAGGTCGCATAATCCGTTAGTAAATTAAAGCCAACGAATGCCTTTACCCATAGGACGAGGTATAAATAGGATAGAGAAACAGGCACTGCGATAGGCGCCTAAAATACGATTTCTAGAAGATTCTGGTCCCCGCGCCCTCAGCGAGGGGAAGACGCGGATTGGAGGAGGCGGAGGGCTCGCGCGGAAGGCCTGACAGGAGGAGCCGGAAGGGGCGGGGAAAGGAGGAGCCGGAAGTGGCGCGTGACTGACAAGCGGGGCCTCGAGGGAGGGAGGGAAGGAAGGAAGGAACTTCGGTTAGCGCGCCTCTCTGAGGGAGAGCTGTTCAGCGCGGAGGCCTCGGCTCTCCGTCAGCCATGGACCCGCGGAAGCTGACCGAGCTGCGGGCCTTCGTCAAACTCTGCAAGGAGAACCCGACCCTCCTTCACGCCGAGGAGCTCGGCTTCTTCCGCGAATGGGTGGAGAGGTAAGTGAGCAAACAGGCAGGCGCCACGGGAGCCAAAGAAAGGCCGCATCTAACGCTGTCGAATGAATGCCGTTTGGTACTGCTTAAAGCTTAATTATTGATGACATTTATATCCCGCCCTTCTCACCCCGAAGGGGACTCAGAGCGCCTTACAAGATACATATACGTACAATATATTATATTATTAGCATAGTACAATATTAGTATTATATATTACTGTATTGTACTCTACCATTATATTGTAATATTACTGTTATAATATAAAATTATAACACAGCATATTATTTGAGAACACAGAAAAGCTGGACCACACCAACAACCACCATGTCAGACTACACAGAGAAGCCATTGAAATCCACAAGCATGTGGACAATTTCAACAGAAAGGAGGAGACCATGAAAATGAACAAAATCTGGCTACCAGTGTTAAAAAACTCTAAAATTACAACAGCAAAACAACAGAGAGGAAACAACCAGGCACAGATTAACACCTCCCAGCAAGAGATTTTCCCAGGCTCAGGCAGGCCTTCAAATGCTAATGAAGGTGGTCAGTTGAAACATTCACACCTAGCTCCAGCAGGGAAGAGCTCCTTGCCCCACCCCAGCCATTCCACAGATATATAAACCCATTGTCCTAATTCCAACAGACCTCACTACCTCTGAGGATGCTTGCCATAGATGCAGGCGAAACGTCAGGAGAAATGCCTCTAGAACATGGCCCTATAGCCCGAAAAAAACCCACAAGAACCTAAAATTATAATATCACATTATTATTAGTAGTAGTATATTGTATTACATTATAATATTATAAATATTATATGTATATAAAATATATTATATTATTAGTATAGCACAGGAGACAATTTATTTCGTGTACTTCTACCCCACCCTTCTCAACCCCCGAGGGGGGACTCAGGGCGGCTTACCAAAAGGCACAATTCGATGCCTACACAGTAATACAAATAAGATATAGACAACAATTAAAAACAGTTATAACAGTTAAGAACAATCAATATGTATCACAGTCAATAAAGAACAATCTTATGCTCAACGTTCGCAACTTAGAGTCCATAGCTTCATTCCACATTTTCCATTCCTATCAATCGTCATTGTCCTTTATTTATCTGCCAGATTGCCCAAACGCCTGGTCCCAAATCCATGTTTTTAATTTCCTTCTAAAGGAAAGGAGGGATGACGATGATCTAATTTCCCCGGAGAGTGAATTCCATAGGTGAGGGGCCACCACCGAGAAGGCCCTGCTCCTCATCCCCGCCAATCTCACTTGAGATAAAGGCGGGGCCGAGAGCAGGGCCTCCCCGGAAGATCTTAAACTCCGAGGTGTGACGTAGGGAGATGCGTTCGGACAGATACGCTGGGCCGGAACCGTATAGGGTGGAACAAGGTGGAACTGTCCCCTGGCCCCCCCTCTCTTCACTCTGGCCCAGAGCGGCAGTTGGTGCTGGTGGGAGGGGTCCCCCACTGATGACATATGCAGGAGACAAGATGGAAAGGAGATTCCATCTGAACATGAGGAAGAACTTCCTGACTGAGAGCCATTCAGCAGTGGAACTCTCTGCCTCGGAGTGTGGTGGAGGCTCCCTCTTTGGAAGCTTTTAAACAGAGGGTGGATGACCATCTGTCGGGGTGCTTTGAATGCAATATTCCTGCTTCTCAGCAGGGGGTTGGACTGGATGGCCCATGAGGTATCTTTCAACTCTATGATTCTATGGCTGACAGGGAGCTCTAGCATGGGCTGGTCCATGTATTCTATGAATTGTCCCCTGCCCTCCCTCCCTTCACTCTGGCCCAAAGCAGCAGTTAGTGCTGGGGGAAGGGCTTATGTTAGCATTGAAATAAAGTAGCTTCATTGGGTGCCAGCCTCGTGGGCTTTTCTGAGGCGGAGAGAGCGTGACTTGCCCAAGGTTAACAAGGGAGTTTCCACGGTTTACCAGAGTCTCTGCGGTCGTGATCCAGTGCTCAATCTGCTATGCAAGGCTGGAGCCTAGAAAACACATTCTCTCAATTCCTACTGACAGAAGAGTGAATGGATGAAAAGAACGTAGAGGGAAAATGGCTGAGAAGTATTTTCCAACAGAACTCTTTCCCATTCCAGGGAAATGGGGGCAGGGAAGTCCAATGAAGGTGGTTTTGAAAGGCACTGAAAAGAGAATTCTGAATCAGTTTTTCCCACTGCCAGGGCTCAATGTTGTGCAATCCCGGGAGTTGTGGTTTGGGAAGACACAATTACTCTTTGGCAGAGGAACATTAATACCTTGTAAAACTACGGCTTCCACGATTCTGCTTTTGGAAAATGGTGTTCATAACCTCTTGGAGATCACAATATTTTTAGAAAAACATGACCTTTCAGAGAAGAGACAAAAACCCTTTACAGTAGAATCATCTCATGTGGAAGACAACCATATATAATTATGCAAGGCAATGGTTTCAGTTATTAGACTGAATAACCTGTTATCTCTTATCTGTTAGGAAAACAGATATTTTTCCAGTGCATTAAAAAACAGAGCTTTAGAAGTGCTTCTCAGTATGTGTAAAGATAAAGGTTTCCTGTGACATTAAGTCTAGCCATGTCCAACCCTGGGGGATGGTGCTCATCATCTCCATTTCTAAGCCGAAGAGCTGACATCCGTAGACACTTTCAAGGTCATGTGCCCGGCATGACTGCATGGAGCGCCATTACCTTCCTGCCAAGGTGGACCTATTGATCTCATGTTTGCATGTTTTTAAACTGCTAGGTTGGCAGAAGCTGGGCCTAACAGCAGGAGCTGACTTCACTCCCCAGATTCCAACTGTCAAACTTTCGGCCAGCAAGTTCATCAGCTCAGCGGTTTAACCACTGAGCCACCAGGGGGCAAAATATATATACTCTCTCATAAAACAACTTGTTTTATATCATGCGCTCAAGAGACAAAAATGAAGTAGACTTTGATAAAAAATAATATATTTGGTTTACTCACAAGCTTCATGTGTTCCACATATATAGTACAAAACTTATCAGTCTAGTTTCATATATGTTTGAGATAATTATCTGTGCCATCCAGCCAGGACATATCTTACAGCAAAACAGCAAGCAAGTGTGTGATCCGAGTTCTGTATAGTTGTCTGGTCTGCAGTGATCATGTGGTCTGAAGCCCCTTGTATATCTTCTCAGGAACCATAGAATAAAGGAAGCTGCATACCAGAACACCCATACAAACAGTAAGCAACAGGATCATAGATAAACATTACTAGAGAAGGCTTGAAGAAGATTCCCATTTCCAAAATCTGCAGCATGGAGCTAGTTGTTAGCCCTCTCTGCCAAAGAATGCTGGTACCTCACCAAACAGCTCCCAGGTTTCCAGACCATTGAGCCCTGGCAGTTAGAGTGCAGTAAAGACACCCACCCTTGTAGACCAACCAGAGAAGAAAGTAGGTAGCTAGGAGCTATGATGAAAAAAGACCTGTCCTAGGTTGCATCAACACTGAAATTACTGCAGATTGAGACCACTTTATCTGCCATGACTCAAAGCATTGAATCACAGAAGCAGTAGTTTTAGAAGGCCTTTAGCCTTTTTTTTTTTTTTACCAAATGTACAACTTCCACTATTCCATAGCATGGAGCCATTGCAATTAAAACTTAATTAATTCTACAATGTAGAGGTACCCCTACAGAGTTCTGTGCTACCAGGAAGAGAAGAAATTACAGTGGGTCCTTGGTCTCTGCTCGGGTTTGGTTCCAGGAATCCCATGGCATATACAATGGCTTAGAAAAATGGTGTCCCTTGTACAATTGAAATTTGCTTTTGAAATGTTTTTGAATATTTTCAAGCTGTGGATCCTCTGTATCCATGGATACAGAATCCATGGATACAGAGGACCAACTATTTAGTGTTTTGCATAATAGATTGCCTAACTCTCCAATTGCTTCTTCAGTATTTTTCCACGAGCAAGATACTGGTTTAGGGGACGAATTGCTGCATTTCTGGGTGGGAAACCTGGTCATTTGCCTTACTGAAATCCTACCCACTTTTAAATCCTATTACATACATGTCTCAAATAATAAACAAGATAGTTTCTGTAGGTTTGTTCATAAGTTTAATTTGTATGCAAATCTTAATGGGTACAAGTCTAACTCCAGTCATATATATAGAGTGGGGTGGGGGGAGTGTCCACTTTTGATAGCATAGGAAAATATTAACACCCCTGTAGTATTTGTTTTGCTGTCTTTACCCCTGTTCAGATTTCACCTCACTTTCTGTCCCTGTGGTAGTTGGATTTTGAAAAATTTGGCTTGTTGTGGAAACAAGGATTGGTGATTAAAGCTTCAGTGGAGACATCTTTTTCTCATAATAACTCTTTCAGGAGTGAATGTCCCTTCTGAGCAGCATTTCCTTTCTAGTGTTGTTTCACTCTCATTCTTAACTATGAGTCATTTG